CTAACTCCATGGTAGTGTTGGAAACCGAGTTCTTAACTATAGAGACGAAGTAATTAAAATTAAGATTGATTTTGTCTTCACGTGATTGTGAGACAGCCTAACCCAATATTGTACATTTTGTCATTTTTATCTTAGCGTTAGAATTTTGCCCTAACCTCATATGGGCGGATTTTATGCAAAGTACAGAAGTGATGGTATATATTTTTATTGGCAAAAATTATAGGGGACGTCTAAAGAGATTCTTTTTTATTGAATTAACTTTAGGCTTTGTTAAGTTCTACTAGTAGTTATATACAGTATACCCTCGTTATAACGGACTCTGTTATAGCAGATACCTTATTATAACGGAGTAATTTTCTGTAACAATTTAAAATTTTTATTATTATACTAAATAACGCTATAGTGGCAGTAACCAAAGCTTATGTTATTTAGGCGGGGAAACCAGTAAAACTCAAAATACTTATTTGAGGTTGGACTATACCTTCATCCCAGGGCCAATTCCCGCCTTAAGACCGCCGACTCTCATTATAACGGACAGAATTTCTCAGCTCAACCACTACATTATAACGAGGGTAGACTGTATATGCAAATTGCCTTCCTGACATTTTAAACTACGGTAGGGGCCGGGGATCGTCAAAATTCTATAATTTGATTGGCCATGTGTCACATGATACGGTCCGATTTAAATTGGTGAAAAAGGCTAAACCCTTTTTGCCATCCCTATCACCAAGCGCAGTAAATTAAAACCCACCACCGCTATATTGTTATGATAGCAATCTGGGTAATTATTTTTGAACCCGGACCAATTTTATATATGACGTAATAAAATTTTGGTCCGAATTCAAAAATAATTACATTAACAATAATAAAATTTTATGTATTACGAGATAAGATCTTGAATTTTCATTGGTTTAATAAAATTAACATAAATACCAAAAATGTTCGTTTTTATATGAGAAACTTTTTAAAAACTGTTATTTCAATGGATCTAAAAATAAGCGATCAATGCCCGGTTTATGCGCCGTTTTTCGGGCATGCTGGAGTTGCAGCAGCGGTAGATGCATAGTTTTCTCACGGTTCTTTTTTTCTTAAAGAATTAAACGTTAGCTAACGTTTTCATTTCAAATTTTAAAGATGATCTTTAGCTGTAAATTTATTTTAAGCTAAAATAATTTTTGTTATTTGTCTCAATTTATTATTTATAACGGATTTTGTGGATTTATAAAATTCATTTTAATTCAAAACGATCTCAATAATAGCTATTGGTGCTGCTTATGGGACTGCAAAAGCTGGAATTGGAATCGCTGGTGCCGGAACTTTTAGACCTGAACTTATTATGAAGGTAATTTTTATTTATTCTTTTACTATTTACAATTATTTACAATTAATACTTATTGATTTTTCATATTTAGTCACTTCTACCTGTGGTTATGGCTGGTATTATTGCTGTTTATGGACTTGTCATATCTGTTTTAATATGTGGATCAAGTATGTTGCGTCTTTCATTAGTAAATTTTGTTTCTCAGTGCTAAAAATTTCTAATATGCATTTGTTTTCATAGTGGACCCAAATAAACCATATTCGCTATTTACGTAAGTTATATATCTTGTTTAAGTGGATAAGTAAATAAATGTTTGTTAATTTCAAATTCAAAAATTTTTTTTTCCAGTGGCTTTATTCATCTTGGTTCAGGTCTTACAGTAGGCCTTACGGGTTTAGGAGCAGGCTACTCAATAGGAATTGTTGGTGATGCTGTGAGTAATCTTTCCTGCGTCTTTCTTTCCAATATTTATCTCAATTATATTAAAATTTCTTTTCATATTAATACCACAAAAAGTTTGTTAGAGCGTATGTACAACAAACTAGACTTTTTGTTACAATGGTTCTGATGTTAATTTTTGCCGAAGTATTGGGTCTTTATGGA